CCGGGGGATGAGACTGGGCAGCCAGAAGTCCTCATCCCATTCCTGGGACGTGGACGTGGGCTGCGCCCACGTTCAGGAGACTGGACCAAAAGGGGTCGCAATAAGAACTTCCCAGCTGGAAGATCTGCAATTGTCGCACCCTGTCAGGACTAGTCAATGTGATGTGATCCGCGCGATCGGCGCCTTGCGAACGGAAAAATCGGCCCTGGCCCTCCAAAGAGAAGAAAAGGACCATCTTCCAGAAGCTTCCAACCCCATGACAAGGCAGACCTCGTCGCGACGGATGAAGTCGCTCCCCACCCAGATCCCTGGTTCCACCTCTCCCCCACCAGGTGGCGGGAATCGGATCGCCCAGCATAGCACGGAGGCGCTGCACCTGGGTTACAAGCCAATACGGGGTGGATATGCTATATAATTCTTTTACAATCCAATATGGGGTTGATAGCTTTACAATCCAATATACTAATTTCTATTGTTATTACTTCCATTACTATTACTACATAACTTTTGTGATCTATATGGCCATCAACTACGCTCGACTCGTACACTAGACCATCCTCCCAGCACATCCCCCTCTGCCCATCAGACCTCTCGGGCGTAGAAGTCCCGCAGGGTCTGTCGAACGCGGTGGCTGGGCTCTTCGAAATACCAGTGCCGCACCTGAACAACCCACGGCGGCTGGTGGCTCCCGGGTGGTGACGGGAGCCAATGGTGTTTGTTTGGGCGTGCCATGGGGAGACCCTAAACAATCTCTCTTTGTTCACTTTGTTCCCATGGATTTTCCATTCTGAAATATCAGGCTTAACAACATGTGTTCTCAACATCGATGATGGCTGAGCGTTCGATGGAAGTGCAGGAGTTCAACTCTCTGGAAATGTCCCGAGCTCCTTCAATGCTTCCATCCATGGCTTGATAGGTGGTCTGGATTCATCTCTTTGCATTTTTCTGACATCCCCCCCTTGTTTGGTCAAGAGGAGACACAGCAAAGCTCGTCTGCAGCTAGATTGCAGAGACACATCTGGTTCTGATTGTACATGACCCAAAAGCAGCGACAAGTGTCCATAGCTTTGTGGCTCATTCAACAGTGATGCAAAAAACAATATCAGATCTGGGGACTGGGGACCTTTGAAACCTCCATGGGCCCGGTCCCTTCATCTTGCTCAAGAGCAGCATGGCCCAATGCTGGGACCCAGACATGCTCTTCCTTGAAGACATAGTCAGACACCCAGGGGACATCCTCCGGACAACCCCTTCAGTGGGTGTGCAAGCAGGATCGGCAGAAACTGGAACTACATGAAAGATATATAACACCGCTCTTGTTCTATGGGAGAGAACACAAGAAATAGAGAAGCACTCTCTCAAGATCACCTTTTCACTTTTCACCACGAATCATCAGAAACCATGGCGTCACGCGGTCGTTCTTCTTTTGAGTCTCAAGTGTGAGGATTCGCTTCACTTGTACACATCCTACCAGCAAGCAAGACACAACAACACAAAAAGAATCTTGTGTCAGAAAATTCTTGGAATCTAGCAACCTCGCCTCAGTTCTCACCTCACCTCTTTCCCACAATGGATTCAGTCCCGAACCAAAGCCAATCCGCCGATCTGCCGATCCGCCTCCAGCCCCAGGAACCGAGCCACGTGCCGCAAGTGCTGGCGCGGCTGCATGCGACACCGCTCGGAAATGAGCACCTGAGAGCCGTTGCTTCTCGCGGTGGAAGGCGATGGCGCGAATCCATCGACCGCCACGGGGGGGGGCTCTTGGGGGGAGCATCAGGTGTCTTTCTCTCAAGAGGCCGAGCAAACAGGTGGCCACTGATCTCGCAGAGACCCAGAAGCGTTTGAAGCTTGCTCGTTGAAGCACTGGGGCTTTCTCAGTGTGCAAAGCTTTAACGATGACTGTCACGTTTTTTAGGCTTTTGCCAGCTGAAGGGAAAGAAAATGGAAATCGAACGCACCCTTGTCGCGTATCTATCTTCCTTTGACTGAAAGGGTCGGGCCACAACCATATCCCTTTCGCTGAAGCACGAGCACTTGATCGCTGGGAAAGAACTGCAGCATGCGTTCAAGTTGTTCAGCATAGAAGCCTAGCGCCAAGCTTGATGTATGCCTGCATGGTTCCATACAAGATCTGGGTCCTGGACCCAAGCCAGTCGCAAGAATCAAGAAGTTGTTGGCTTTGAGAAACTTATCTGGTACGTATTCATCCAGAAACACTCACCAGTCGCACAACCTTCCCACCCTGTGTGCGCAGCGAGTGTCAACAACATCACACTCCACTGTTCATCCAACCACTGTAATCTTTGCAAAAACCACAACACCCCACCCCCATCTCACCCCATCTCATCCCACCCCCATCTCGTCCCCAACACAAACACCCCGCGCCTCGCTTGAAGGCGTCGCTGCGACAGGGACAGGTGTTCTTCGAGGTGTGCATCTCCCACACGAAGCGCTCCTCGAGCGTGCCCACCTCACGGTACCTCCAAGGTTCCGATCGGAAGCAGGTGGAAGGCACCACATGTGATCGGTACCTCCGAGGTTCTTGGCGTGGAAGGCAGGGGAGTGAGACGTGGAAGGCAGGTACCAGACGGGTTTCAGATAGGGTTTGCTTCTGGTGGAAGATCCTTCCAAAGGAAGGATGCTCCCAAAACAATTTGGCATCGGACCAACAAGGTCCCACCTACTTTGGAACTTTGGAGGAGTCTGTCAGAAAGTGTCGAACGCTTCGAGCAGTCCAAACCCATCGGGTTACCTCTTTTTGGAAAGCCACATCACTGAACAGCTTCACGTTTCTGCACCCAAAACAATGATAAAGATGTCTTCCTTCTATTTTGTGGCTTTTTCACCCACGAAGCAGAGGCGAAGGCACTTGTTCAAGTCGTGGTTGTGGTGGGATATTGCGCGGCCAATCGGGTTCCGTAGCAGAACCACCAACTTCGCCTGAGAGAACACAACTCGTGTGGCATACAAGTTCATCGATGTATCAAACGTGCTCTGTGGCTCCTCTGATGCTTCTCTTACGTACGATCTGAGCAGATAGGATACGGCGATTTACTGTAGACCTGGAAAGCTATTCCCAACCAACATACCAACGTGGTCCACTGGCGGACAGAAACCAAATGTGCAGGGGATAAAAACAGAAGCCTACAGCATGTGGACGAAAAAATCTGTAGCTGTAGCCGTCTTCATACCCTACTGGCCTTGTAGCTATTAGCCTAGCTAACCGTTAGCGCCGTCTTGTCCTCTCTTCCCTTCCCTGTCCTGAGGCAAGCAGTCGCGCAACCGCGACAGGGCCTTTGGCATATACCTTATCACCATGAAGCGCGACAAGGTGAAACCAAAGGATTCACGACGTGAGTCCACACGATCCCGCGCGGTTTCACGCATGGCTCAGTTGCACCGAGCAACGCATGGCTCACCGGGGGATTTCAAGGTCGGAAGTCAAAGAAGGAGTCCGTTTGCTTCCGCAGACGGACCACATGGACCCTTAGAATGCACTCATGGAAGACATGTTCCGAAGACCAACCCAAGGTGGAGTTTTGGGGGTTCCATGTGGTCCGAATAGAGGGGAGTACTCAGCTGATATCTTTGACCATTTCCAAGAAACGATGCAAACCTGCAGGTAGCTGACTGCTACCTAGTCGCATGTAACTCGGGGTCACATCTCCAATCATTGAGCAATCAGCATCAAACCATGAGGCCTCACGTTGGAAATCATCCAGGCGTATGGCAGTGCTCAAAACTTTGCAGAATCCACACTTCTAATCGTTTAACAATTTTAACAGGTTGAAACTGCCAAGAATCATAATGGGAAGCACCCCACTGCCATTCCTCATCGTCATCGAAGAAATGCAGCTCCTCTTCGCCAGTCGAGCTCGCCACGTCACGTCCGAGCTCGCTTGCGCGAAGTCGGAGCTCGGATGACCCACGAACACCGGTGGCCCAAAGGGCTCTGGTCATGGCACCGGGGCTCTGGTCCGTTGGAAGACTGACTAAGTCGTCTTCGGAAAACCCATTTGGAAGATGACGATGGCGGCTAGCGGCTATGGCTCTTCTTCCGCTTCGCTTCGGGTTTTCCGGGGGTCGGGTCCCGGGTCGACGGTTGCTCCTCATCTGGCAGTGAGAGGCCTAAGGGCCGCTCCAAGGCCTGGAGCTGCGAGCGCAAGGAACAGGTCCCACCTGGCCGCGCCACCGCTCAAGCCCCTCACATGCGACGATCAGAAGGGTCACCCTTAAACCCATGAAGGGCGGAAGTAGTCGTGGAGCAAAAAGGCAACTGGCTCAAAGAAGAAGAGAAAAGAAAGCGTTGTCAAACTTTGCCTTGGAAAGTGAAGATGCTCAGGCATGCTTTGATGATACAAACCCAAGTCATGCCGAAGTGGAACATCTGACAGGTCCAATTTGAGGACACCTCCAACCATTGCAACCATCATCGACCGTCACGGCCTTTCATCACACCAGGCACAATGACCGCCCGTTTTGAGGCAAGCCATTCCATTGCCCATGAGCTACCAGGTGGAGCTGTCTGGATTGATGCCATCGGAGTCCGAACTTACCCTGTGAACCAAAGTGCTCGTTATAAACTTGATCGTTACGACGACCTTAAGTAACTTGTTTGAGAACGTCCTTTATTACTTCCTCTAATCACCACAGAGTTTGGAGCTCAATCACTATGCATGGCCCATGGCCATATTGTCACGATGTTCTACTGTTTTGGTCGAACTAAAAGATCCAATTGCTAAGATAGGCCGTGTCCGTTAGTAGGTCGATCTTGTGAATCCCCCCCTCTGCTCTGATGGCCCTGGGGCCGAGCAATGCTCGATGCGACGGCCTTTTTTAAGGAGCCCTCGGTAGATGGAAGAGAATTCGACCAAAATGATGCCAACTGGATAGAGAAACTGACAAGTCCCAGAAACAAACTGACAAGTCCGGCTCTCTGAACTTCGAGTAAATACAGTACACACACACGTCCGTCTCAAACGCACCGCTGAGATGTGGACTCGGAGACGGACCAGTGAGCTCTGGTGTGTGCAATTCCAGCGCCTGCACCTGGAATTCGCCAAGCCGAAATGCCAAGCAGGGCCAAACAGCAAAGTGAGACAAAGCTGCAGTCAATGAGACAAAATAGCTCACCTGCAGCACCGCTCTGTCTCAGTGGCCTGAGTCTCTTTGGGCACAGCGCGCCAGGGAGGCACCAAAGCTGCTGCCACCTGTCGACGACTGACTTGTGACCTGAACCTGTCGATTCCCAGAGATTCCCAGACTGAGAATGACATGACTTGTGGGAATCCATAGCATCAAACTCACAAAGGAACCAAATCTAGCACAGTCACGACCATCGGTGAGCGGTTTCGTGAAACAAATCTGGGGCAGCCGACCATCCGCCCAATACGGGAAGACTTGTCCTCCAAGTTCCATGTTCCGAAGACGCAGCAGTTGTGACTGGTGAAGGAACCCTTCCACTGTAACCCGTTCGCCGCCGGCTGTTCTCTTCGACTTTTCAGGTGTCCTGCCTCTGGCTGGGTCAAAGAAGACAGGGCTGCCCAGTAGAAGATCAAGGAAAACTCCAGCTGGCCATCCTGGAAAAACAAGGCATGCAAAAAGAGGCATGCCATTTCTGAAGGTTCTTTGATGCATCAAACATGGAATGCTGGGCAAGCACCGTGTGTTGTCACCAAGCACCGGTCCCATGGTCGCCCAAACGGGGCTTCGGCTTCATGTTTCATCCAAGATGGGCTTGTTGTAAAAAGGGAACACCAAGCAGACGTGAGGCCCACAAGCTAGCTTAGCTTTCGTGCTCCAAGGTCGTGTGACGTGACGACGACACAATAGGACCAGTAGGATTTCACAGATTGGTGCTTTAGGAAGGTTCCAAGATTGGAGCTTGCAGCTTGCAGCTGCTGGTGTCACGATCGCCACGTGAAAACGCGCTCACGCACCGACCGCTGCTGGAACGTGCCCACCGACCCATCCAACCACGAAGGTTTCTTCGATTCGCGCCGAAACCAAACCCAGTGAGAATTCACGGTCAATTCAGGTCCAAGCGACTCCATGAAAAGCCTCTACATCTGCCCCCCAACGAGGCACCCCTCACGCCCCGCCTGCTCAAGCCTTTGCAGCACTTGGAATGCTGGAATCGAGTCATCAGCAACAACCTAACATCCAAGAATCTGGAATTCTGGGCTGATTTGTAGTTTCCACAGGGGCGTAACACTAGTGGTTCGTGCTACCGTTCCATAGCTTTAGCTAGGGGGGGCATTCTCGTTTGGGAACGAAAATGCATATCCTGCATGATGACGAGCTGTGTCTGGGGAGACGAGTGGGAGTGGGAGAAAACATTGAAAACACATTGGTTTCACACATCATCTATGTCTGACTATGTTTTTCATTATCGTATCATTTGCATTTGAAAGGCAGACACATATATACATGTGTATATATATATATATATTAGGGACACCCTGAAAAATGTACAATTTCAAGGAATCGGATTTTATATATATATATATCTAATATATTAATATAGATATACATCGAACAATGCTTACAAGTCGTAAGAAGAACATAACTAAACAATTTGTAAGAGGGTCCACAAATAGAGTGATCATAATCATAGATACTTCGTTCATTTTATTCATCCACTTCATCTTCATGCTGCGTTCATCTCTCAGTCTTGTCTCGATCATGCACATTGTACAGTTTATTATTCATAATCACTCTATTGTACAATTTCAAGGGGGTCGAAAAATGGATCCGACAATGCTTGCAAACTGCAAGTAAGACATAAACAACTTCTCAGACACTCCAAAAATAGGTTGATTATAGAAACTCCTCTGAGAGGAGTAGCGGCGGGCTGCTGTCGTTGCGAAGCGACCCGAACGAGATAGAAAGTGCCTGTTGCATGCAGTTCAGTGGAATCTACTGGGATCAAAGACCTGTCAAATTGCTTGAGGCTGAGAACTATCAATGATGGGTATCAAAGAAACACTGCTCAAGGTCGCGGCGGCCCCACTAGTAGGGGCTGGTGAGGGAATCAAAACGGTTGTTGACCTGGTGCAGATGGGACAAGCCCATCCGCACACTCCTTTTGACACAGAATTGGAGAGACAGCTGGGCATCACATACGCCATGCCCATTCCACGTCGGCGCCTCAATCAGTGGGTATTCAAGCAGAATCCGCTCTCCTGCGCAAGAGCCAAGGTTCATTCTTGACAAATTCACAGTCACGGCGCGTGGGATTCACGAAGATGATGACTTTCTTTCATTGAATAAAAATATAAATGAACAAGCCCTGTACCTTTTTCCTCTAGTGAATCCTGGTCCAAATGGAGTATTTGATTGAGTTCTTGCAAGCACCCAAAAACACCCACGGGACCAAAACAAATCATACGCTTTTAAAAAGAACGGGCAGGCTTCTGGCTGTTTGAACTGCTGCGTCACATACCCCTTTTGGAAATAGAAGGGATCAAGAACCACAGAGGAAGACGGATCTTGGAACAGACCTCCCAGTCCTGGTTCAAAGTCCACATTCGCTAGGAGAACCCGGCCCTTCCCCTGCAGGTCCAATCGATTGGTGTCAAGTCCTCTCTGCACTTCTCAACGCAAAGATTTTGTGAATCAAAACTGTTCCGTGGGTGTCCAAACAACTCCAAACCCGGCCATATGAATCTGGAGAGCCTGTGTCACGTCAAAACAACATGTGTTCAAGTGAAACGTGTGTGTGTGATTGCTTTGTGCGAGGGTCTAGGATTTAACCAAATCACGGAACTGCATTTCTATCACGCGCAAAATGGCACGCAAATCCATGCTCTCCACTCGAAAAAGTGGCATGTCCAGCCTCAGGAATTTCCCAGATGGTTAGTCTTCTATTATATACATCACAAGAACCAAGTTCCCCATGTGTCCCACCGCAATCTGTGCAACTGCAACTGCTTCACCGTGGTAAGTAGCCACCTGGAATGGACTCGGCGACGATGATCGGTGCCGTTCGAGGGGAGGAGAAACCACCGGTGTGAAATGAAAAATTTGCATGAACAAATGCCTTACAAATGCCTTTATGTTCATTTGTTGAGCTGCAAATGCCTTACAAATGAACGAAAAGTGTGTGTTAAATTATTGCATGAACAAATGCCTTACAACCACTTTGCCCCACAAACTGCCCCTGAAGAAGATCTTTGAGTTCGGCACATGGTTGGCTACCAGAGAAGATTTCATCTCTTTCCGTAGCCATATGTAGGACATGGCGCATGGTACTGAAATTTTCTGTGAGCGCAAAGTCCAAGGGTTTGATTTTGACACATATAACATATTTGTTTTACAAATGCAACGACGTTCTTCCGTCTTGCTTGAATCGAAAAGGGCTGCACAAGCTTATGAACGTGCATGCAATGGCCAAACGACGCAACTTTTGCAATGAGAGTTCAGCAAAAAAATGCCTGATTTTGCGAAGGCAAGGTTGTCTAAAAACATGAGTGTTTCAAATCCGCCCATGCCCAATGTGGCAATGCGGCAATGTGGCATCTGCAACCAACCAGCTGCTAACCAACATCAAACAACACCAAAACAACAGTAACACACAACAAACCTCAAATATAGTCAGTGACGAGCATCCAAGCTTGGCGCACGGCCTTTGGAAAACATTAACCTGTCCTGCTGTTGATAAATCGAGACGAGACAAAAAGGTTTCGGCAGGACATTTGGGAATGCAGTGAGTGAGTGAGTGAGTGAGTGAGCGAGTGAGGAGTGAGCGAGTGAGGAGTGAGCGAGTGAGCAAGCGAGCGAGTGAGTGAGCGTGAGTGAGAGTGTGAGTGAGAGTGTGAGTGAGAGTGTGAGTGAGAG